CACAAGAATCCTATAAGGTGGGTCCTGTTATTATCTCCATTTCCTAAGTGAGAAAACGGAGGCTCAGAGAGTTAAAACAACCTGACAAGGCCACCCAGCTGGTTAATGGTGGAGTCGGGATCTGAATCCAGGTGGTCTGATTTTACTAGGGCCTGTACTTAGAATTAGCAAGAAGCAATGAGAACAGAAAAAAAGAAAGTATCAAAAAATACTTTCCACTGAAATGCTAAAACAATGCACAACATGTAGCTGAGATTACTGGCAGCGAAGGCAAAGAGGAATACATAATGAGTTTAAAGAGCTCTCACGGCCAAGTTATAGAAAGCATATTCGTACATAAGTAGAAAAACTTTTCTCCCTGGCCTTGAGTTCTGAGAGGAGTTTGTTAAGGTGTTTGAGTTCATTCAATGAATGCCATTAGCAAGAAATGCAGAGGTGGTCCACGTGGGGCAAACTGCTGATTTTACCTTTGGGACAAAGCCCAAGGCCTTAGGTTAGAAGCGTCGTTCTCTAAATAAACCCTTGGGGTGAGGATGAGGGGAGGATGGAGGGACATAGTCTGGGTTTACATCCTGGTTTAACCGCATCCATCACCCATTCCCATCGCTACTCTAGAGGGCCAAGTCCCTGGCATTGTCTGGTTTACTGCGTAACCTGACTTGTTCACTTGTTTCTGGTCTCTCCCGGGCCAACATTCTTCACACTGCTTCTGGCTTATTATTTCCAAGGCATTGATTTTGCAATTTCACTCGTCTGTTCAAAAGCCATTTCAGTGATGTGCAAATTGCTTATAAGATAAAGTCTGAACGTATTAGCTTACTGTTTAAAGTCTTCTACATCCAGACTCCAAGTCTTATCACCTTCTATTCCTCTAATGGTGCGTCTTAAATTAGGGATTTCATACCCTAGGAGTGTGTGTGTGTGTGGAGAGCGGGGAGGAGGAACTCTGAAGAAATAGACCCAAGTCCAATGCATCTTCTTGAAGTGTCAAGTTTACCAGATGACAATTACTTTTTTTTTTTGGCGGTTCGCTGGCCTCTCACTGTTGTGGCCTCTCCCGTTGCGGAGCACAGGCTCCGGACGCGCAGGCTCAGTGGCCATGGCTCACGGGCCCAGCTGCTCCGCGGCATGTGGGATCTTCCCGGACCGGGGCACAAACCTGTGTCCCCTGCATCGGCAGGCAGACTCTCAACCACTGCGCCACCACCGACAATTACTTTAAAACAGCTTTTTAAATGCTAAAACAAACAGTGGTTGTATAGTAAATGCAACATTTACATGAACTTAAAACTGAGGCATCAGAGACCTTTTCAGGATTTTGGTGGGCCACCTTCCAAGACCCTGAAGGGTGTTAGTTCTTTGCCCTTTTCAAACTACCCCAGTCACCGATAGTTGGAAGTACTGACAAAAATACCGACTCTGGAACCATCCTTTTGTAAATTCCCACCCCCAAGTTTTTACACAGCTTGTAACACTGGCTCCTTTCCTGGAAGGCCTTTCCTTTAAGCCCCAGAAACTGTCCAGAATGTTTCTTGATCCTTCTGGGAAGTCACACCAATTACCAAGGTCATTTCCAGGGAGCACTTAGCATAAAATGCCCCCAGTTGTGATTTCATAGACCCATCCTGTGATATTGTGATAATAATTATATTTTTGGTCTTAGTCCCCGATCCTAGAAGAGCTCCTAAAACCCTAGAAACTTCCTAAGTGAGGAAAGCGATAGAGGTGTCTCTTGTTATGTTAATGATGTGATTATTGGAAAGCCCCTAGGTAACCAGCCTAAGGATGGGGGCTGGTTGCCAGGGGAACCAACTGAGTGATTGGAGGGGAGAAGGGCTGGAGACTGAATTCAGTCACCAATGACCGATGATTGAATCAACCTTTGTCTATGTAATGAAGCCTCCATTAAATACGCGGAAGGGTGAGGTTTGGAGAGCTTCCGGGTTGGTGGGCATGCGGAGGTGTGGGGGAGTGGAAGCTCTGTGCCCCCTGCCACACCCTTGTCCTGTGCATCTCTTCATCCTGCTGCTCCTGAGTTATATCCTTTTACATAAACTGGTGATCTAGTAAGTAAAATGCTTTCCTCAGTTCTGTCGACTGAAGAAAAAAAGTGCAATGTGAGAGTTGTGCGTTAAGTTTTATTGGGGGAAAATGAGGACTATGGCCTGGGAAACAGCATTTCGGATAGCTCTGAGGAACTGCTCCAGAGAGGTGCGGGGTGGGGGGGGGGAGGTGAGTGTTCTGTATGATTTTAGTGAAGGGGGGACGTGCAAGCACACATGTTGGCAGAGCCTGGCTGCTAGTCAGGAGGAGGCGATGTCCCCGTTGATGACTTTAGTGCTTTTCTGGATATAAGGAGATGCAAGAATTGGGCTCATAAAATCTTCTCCTGAAAATTTCTATCTAAAGACCTGTTCTGCCAGTTTTTCCCAGAGCACAGAGGGCCTCATTCCTGACCTCTGCCCTGAACTCCTTTCAGGGGGCGTTGAAGGTCAGCAGCTGCAGCGGCTCGTGATTTAATCCTCGTAGAGGTAGATGGCAAGGGCCAATTTGTAGCTGGCAATTCCGTCAGCTACTCTAGCAAATTAATCAAACCCAAGGAGGAGGTCGTGGGAACCTCTTGACTTCCAGCCAGTAGGTGAGCAGCACAGGTGACAACCTAGTGACTGGTGTCTCACGTCGCAGTCATGTGGGACTGAGCTCCTAACGTGTGGGATCCCAGTTACCTCCAGATAGATAGTGTCAGAATTGGGTTACTGGGTGGTGTTGGAAAACACACACTGGATATGCCTTCAGAAAAGCTCACAGGGATCATGCAGTGCTATCCCCTGCTGGACAAAGGAGAACCCACGTCCAGGGAGGTGAAGGTGATGTGCTTTGACACCGACCAGGTGTGCTCCTCCAAGCAGGGCTGGTGCCCAGGAGCAACAATCCTAAACTTGGCTTCCAGAGTGCTTTCCCTCACCTGGTCTCAACCCTGCAGAGGTGGGCAGGGCAGGTACTGTCCATTATAGAGGTAAAATAACCAATATATTAAGGTCTGACAGGAGCGAGGACTATTAACCAGACCGAACTACACACAGCAAAGTGAATTTCCTGACACTGGGCTGTGGTGAAAGAAAGTACAGCATTTACTGCAGGGCCAAGAGAGGAGCACAGCGGCTCAGGCTCACAAGACCTGAACTCCCCATGGCTTTCAGGGAAGTGTTTTTAAAGGCAACCTTTGGGGTGAGCGCTTCTGATTGGTCAGTGGTGAGGTAGCAGGGTGGTGTTTCAGGAATCTTAATCAGCAACCTTCTGGTTCCTAACCGTCTGGAGTCCACATGCTTGTGCTCAGCGTGTAGTCACCATCCTCCACCTGGGGGAGGTGTCTTAGTTTCTGCAGAAAAACTCAAAGATAAGTGTCAGATTGTTAGGTATATGCCTTGAGGAGGCATATACATAAGAGTTTATCCCTGAACTATTGTTGTTACTTCTCTTGGTTAACTGCTTTCCTTTGTTTCTGCATTGCCTCATTTCCCTCATTAGTAACTACCTGTGCTGTCCCTTGGAACTTAGGGAACCGTCGGAAGCTAAAGTCTTTTTCTTTTTTTTTAAAGAGATTCTAATTTCTTTTTTAAAATTTATTTATTTATTTTTGGCTGCGTTGGGTCTTCGTTGCTGTGCGCGGGCTTTCTCTAGTTGCGGGGAGCGGGGGCTACTCTTTGTTGCGGTGCGCGGGCTTCTCATTGCGGTGGCTTTTCGTTGTGGAGCACAGGCTCTCGGCACACGGGCTCAGTAGTTGTGGCTCGCGGGCTCTAGAGCGCAGGCTCAGTAGTTGTGGTGCAGGAGCTTAGTTGCTCCAAGGCATGTGGGATCTTCCCGGACCAGGGCTCGAACCCATGTCCCCTGCATTGACAGGCAGATTCTTGACCACTGCGCCACCAGGGAAGACCCTAAAGTCTTTTTCTACGAACAAGAAACGGAGGACATAGGGGGGCTTTTGGGCGGGAGGGCCCTGCTCAGTTCCAATTCCCCCATTTTTCTTTTTGTTGATACTTCTCAATCCTGAGGGGAACAGGCACGGAATAAGAAAGGGAATAAAGTTTTGGACAGAGAGGTTAATCATAAACTGAGCAGAGGAAACTGGTTTTACAGGGGCTCAGTTTCAGGACCAGAATACAGGCTTCCTGAATCAGCTACAGCACCTGGCCCCTCAGGTGTTTGATAAACACGGCCAACTGAAGTCAAGCGACTGCTGAGCTCCCAGGATTATGGGCGCCAGCTAGCGGAGGCGCGAACATTCCACAGCTGGCGCGCGGCACGGGTAGGAAGAACACCCTGTCGCGACCACAGCCTCCGACGGCCCCTCCCTCCCGCGAGCCAGCCGCGAAAGCGCAGTGACGCAAAAAGGGGAGGTCCAGCCCCAGCAAGACACGGAGTGCGCACGCGCAGCGAAATGGGCTGTGCAACGCAGGTCGGTCTTCCGGGTAACGCAGACCGAGGCCTGGACGAGCCCGCCGCGCAAGCGCAGTGGCACAACAGGCAACCGGCCCCCGCCGAGCCCCGGAGTGCGCACGCGCACTGGCGCGGGGCGTGCATCGCGACGGGCTTCCGTGGGGGACGCCGACACCGGCGAGCCGGGGTTTCAGGTTCAGTGGCGTCCGCTCGGACTCCTCGTCGGCCGGGTTTCGGCGGAGCAGCCCTCCCGCCGAGGAAGGTGAGCGCGGTGCCGAGGACGCGGAGCAAAAAGGAGAAAGGGCAGGCTCCGGGAGAAATGCAAGGGGGCGGGCCGGCCGGTGGCGGGAAAACGTCCCCGAGCTGGGGCGGGCTTGACATGTGATTGACAGGCCAGACACCAATCCAAGGGCTGGGGAGGCCGCGGGGCGGGACCTGGCCGTGAGCCGCCGGCCGCGGGGCGGATCCGCCGGCCGTGCGAAGCGTGAGTTCCTTACGTTGTAGTGCCTGCTGGTCCCTGCAGCGCTACCGAATGTGCCGTTACCTGTCCCCCGCAGGTGAGGAAACAGGCTCAGGGATGTGGACTTTAGCACGGATACAGCCGGGATCCCACATTGGGCAGTCTGACCCCAGAGCCCTCCTGCCGCCCGGGGGACCAAGGTGGAGCAGGAGGAGTGCGATGGCTGGAATGGACCAGCGTGTGGGAGGCAGTGCCGAGAAAAGTGGAGAGAAATGTTAGCCCAGTGTGAGAGCTCTGCGGGCGGAGCTGGGAGGGGGACAGAAGCAAGATGCGAATATGGGGTTGGGGCCAGCTCCGGATTCCCAGCAGGTGCGCTGGAGCCGGGTCGTCTCCCAGGTGTGTGACGTTAAAGCACTTTAGGAGGGGGACAGTAGGATGGTACCTGGACATGGATGTCTCATCGGCTCAGGCTGCCATAACAAAACGCCATATACTGGGTGGCTTAAACAATAGAAACTTCTCTCTCACAGGTCTAGAGGCTGGGAATTCAAGGCCACAGTCCTTATAAGAGTTTAGGACCCCACTCTTAGGACTTCATTTAATCCTGATTACCTCCTTCATTTCATGTTAATTACTCCCTAAAAGCTCTCTCTGCAGATACAGCCTCACATTGGGGGTTAGGGCTTTAACGCATGAATTTGGAGGCGGGGCGGTGGGGGGGGACACGATTCAGACTGTAGCAATAGTTTGTACCCAGGCAAATAAATGATCATCGAAGACTGAAGAAAATGAGCACTTTCAGGCCTAACGTGCCCCTGAGATGCTCTCACGTATCTTAGCCCATTTAATGAGCATGAGATTTGCCTTCGCATTGGTGGGGAGTTCTAGGGAGAACTTGGGTGGGAGCTCGTGTCCACGCAGCCAGCCTGAAGAGGTCGGGAAAAGTTCCACCAAACATTCTTAATAGCACTTAGTATATCCATTATTCATGGATTTAGCTAAACCCTTCTTTTAACTTAGGGTTTAGCTTGTGCTGCTCCTGGAATAATGAGATCCGTAATTACCACCCACGGAGAAGTGGAATAATAATTACTTTTGTTCTGTATTGTTTCGTGTTGTCATTCTAAAGTTTGGTAACTGAGTCTTTCCACCCTACTTACCCTGGTGGGAGGAAGATCAGAAATCTACAGCTTGGAGGCAGATGTGCTTTCAAATCTTGGATTCAAGCCCTTGCTGAGTGACTGTGGGCAAGTCACTTAACCTTTCTGAGGTTCAGTTATTTCAGCTGTAAAATAGAGCTAATAAAAATCCTGGCCACATAGGGTTGTGAGGTTATATGGAAGCAGTTTGAAACCATTAAAGAACTGGCCCTCGGCCTAAATATTTAAGTCATAGACTTCTTCTCCCCACCCCTCTGAGGAGCAGAAACCCGCCCCACGGCTCCCACCTCAAGCTGGCCATTCATTCATCAAATTGTTCCTGAATGCCTGCTGAGTGCCGAAGCACCTGTTCTGAATGCTGGGGGAAGAACAAGACGGACAAGGCTCCTCCTTTTATGCTATTCATATTCTAGTGGGGGAGGACAGTAAATAAGTTCGCATAGCGCTAAGACCTATGAACAAAAGAAAGAGTACTTCAGATCAATGAGATAAAAAAGTGACTTCAGCCGAGTGGTGTGTGTGTGTGTGTCTGTGTGTGTGTCTGTGTGTGTGTGTGTGTCTCTGTGTGTCTGTGTGTGTTTGGAGGGGGTATTTGACCACTGGAGGGTGCCACATACAGGGAGAGGCCTCTGAGGAGCTGAGCTGAGTCCTAAACGTTGAGGACTCCAAGCAGGCGGGGACGGCAGGTGCGAGGCCCAGGCTGATTGGGTCAGGGTGGGGTCCTCACCCAGCCGTCTCTAGGCTGCCCAGTGATCTGTCTTACAAGGAGAGGAGGGACGGGTCAGATTTTTCTCTTGGGATTTAGAACTACGAAACAAGAAAAGACTTCCCTTGGCAGTGGGAGCTGAAGCCAGAGGTCGAGGGGGCTGCAGGCAGAGGTGGCGTGCAGGCTGACTTTGGGGTAAAGCAGAAGCTGCCAGGCGAGCAGAGGAAGCCGGGCAGGCTCCACCTGGCCCGCGACGACGGAGCAGGAGAATGGGAGTCCGCGGGGCATCTGCGGGTGTTTACCATTGGTGGGCTTCCTGGATCCATCTTGAAACCTGAACCACTTTGCAGTTCTAGTCTGCAGGGAGTCCCACCCCGTCCGTGGCTTCTGCTCTTGGTTTTTCCAGGTGGTCTGTATTCTCAGTCTCTCAATATGTATCTTTTCAGTAAATCTCCCTTTTATTTATGCTAGTTCTCTTTTGCAGACACGTGAGTTGGACTCAAACAGAGCCATGTGGACCTGGGTTTGGATCCCTGGGTTTCCTTTCTGAGCTGAGTCTTTGAGGAGTTACTTAATTTCTGTAAGCGTCAGGATCCAAAGACCATCTGCTTACAGCGTTGTACAGATTAAACGAGACACCAGAAGTGGAGGGGCCTGCAGAGCGTTTAACACAGGGCAGGTGCTCAGAGTTTGTTAGGGCCGTTCTCCTTTCCCTTCACGTTTTACTGGGTTTCTGATTACACACTTCTCTCTTGGATTGAATTGTCCTGGTTTTAAGTCATCCTTCTTATCGTCATCCCTCCACCTCGGTCCTCGTTTTAACTGCCCCTAAACTCTTAACTGGAAGAACATCACGCAACTCCCTTCTCTGATACATGAATTGACGTGGTCACTGGTCTTCCTGAGGCCAGTTATGTAGCAAAGGCATAAATGGGATTTAGATTTATTCATATTTGTACTGAGGTGAGCTGGGCCTGCTTAAATAGCTCAGAGCAGTGACTTCCAAAGACAGAGTGGGGCCCGGATGGAAAATGGTGACTAAAGGAAGAAGGGGTGTGTCAAAGCTGTCTCAGAGAGATCAGGGTCAGAAGAGGAGGGAAAACGTGGAGTAAGTGTGGAGCAGAGATGTTTTTCTTAGACCTGGGCCTGCAGGGGCAGACAAGTGCCGAGGCCTCAGTTCTGGGAAGCCCTTCCAGCCAGGGCTCAGCCGCCTGCAGAGGGCCCTCCAGGCTGGGGCCCCAGGGAAGGCTCTTAGGGGGCGGCTCTGGTTTGTACTGGAAGTGGCGGCTGGGATGAATTAGATGCAAACGGAGGATGCCTGTTGGGTAGGGATGGGTGTGTGACATGCAGAAAAGCTGTGCTCGGTTTCTCCGCCTGTGGGTCACGACCTCTTAGGTCTTCACAGCAGGGGCAGGAGAAGCAGTTTTGTCCTGCGATGTTGGGAGACATGGCTGGGAGATGTGGCAGAAGAGAAATTAATGACTGCAGAAGTAATTACGGGCTCTCCAAAAGAAATTTCCAGGCCCTTAGAAAGGTGTGCACGCGGGCAGAACGGCAGGGGTTTCCGGCAGGGCTTCCTGGGCTGCGTCCCCCTGTATCCCGTTGTGATGAACGTTCCGTGGCCAGGCCTCATGGGGAGGCACGTGAGGGAAGGAGCATAGCCTCTGCTTGCAGAACATGTCCCTCCTGGGGAGGAAGTCCATGACTAGTGTTGAGGCCCCTCCTAGGAACCGTTCAGGATCTCGGGCCAGTACTGCCTGGCCCATCAGAGAGCTACTAGATTTTCTTTTTACCCCCCAGGACCATGGCTGACAAAACGGAAGAGGCTGGTGGCGTCCACTTCCCTTTTCCCTTCACACCCTATGCCATCCAGAAAGACTTCATGGCAGCGCTGTACCAGGTGTTGGAGGCTGGCAAGATTGGGATATTTGAGAGTCCAACCGGCACCGTAAGTATTTGGGGCCTGAAGAGGGTCTAGGGAGACTCTGATGACAGGTCAGAGCCAGCGTGCTTGTCTGCATGTGCAGAGAGTCGTGGTTTGAGGTTGAGCGAAGTCATTCTTTCTGAGTAGTGGCCGTTTCTGTCTATTAAGCCGTTAAACACAGGCCCGGGGTCTGAGAAAAATTAGGCTAAAGGCAAATGAGAATTTTAATGGCCATGGAAACCACGACCGTAGCACTGAAACCTTCCGGATTTTTCTGGGCGCATGACCGCTTTGATGCTGAGAAACGTGGAAATTACTCTGGCTTATCCACAGATCCGACGTATTGGTTTACTCTCCAGGAACTGGGTTACTGAGGGCCGGAGGGGTCCAGTCCAGAGCCCCTTAGTTTTGCTTCCTGGCCTGGGAAGAGGGGGTTTGTTAGAGGTTGGCCGCGGAGGACTGTTAGGTTCCCACTTCTCTCTTGCCCTTTATTACCTTCTAGAGCAAGTGTCGCGTGAGAGCTAGCTGCCTGTGTGGGTGCTGCTGTGACCTCCTGGAGGACGAGGACCTCGAGGTCCTCTCCTCTGTGTCCCCGTCATCTGCGGGGAGCTTGGCACGGTCGGCCTCGGGGCTCTTAAGCTGTGTGTGTGTAATGAATGAACGAAGGAAAGTGACTTATTCCTTCTCATCCACTGACGGGAGTGTGTCACTCTCTCCTGGGATGACATGATCTGCTGGGGCAGGAAGAGGGCAGATGGGCCGCTCTCTTGTTCCGTTTTGTTCCTTCAGATACAGCGAGTGGGAGAGGCTCCGTTCCGCCAGTTCACACAACATGGGTCATGAAGATACTGTGCAGAGTGAGGGTTTTTTGTATTTTTGGTTTTTTTGGCTGCGTTGGGTCTTTGTTGCTGCGCGCGGGCTTTTCTCTAGTTGTGGCGAGCGGGGGCTACTCTTCGTTGTGGTGCGCAGGCTTCCTATTGTGGTGGCTTCTCTTGTTGTGGAGCACGGGCTCTAGGCGCGTGGGATTCAGTAGTTGTGGCTCACAGGCTCAAGAGCGCAGGCTCAGTAGTTGTGGCGCACGGGCTTAGTTGCTCCACAGCATGTGGGATCTTCCCGGACCAGGGCTCGAACCCGTGTCCCCTGCCTTGGCAGACGAATTCTTAACCATTGCGCCACCAGGGAAGCCCGAGGGGTTTTTAAAGTAGCATCTTTCTACCAGCATCCGACCTTCCATTTACACCCAGTGCACGTGGGGACTTCACTGGTGGTCCACTCTGCGCTTGCACTGCACGGGCTGTGGGTTCGATCTCTGCTTGGGGAACTAAGATCCCGCAGCCAAAAACAAATAAATAAGCCCAGTGCCTGGGACGTCTGCCCTCCTGACCCCCCCACCGAAAGACTGGCTAGGGTCAGGAGCAACTTCCTGTAATTAGATCTGAGGAGCTCAGGTCCCCAGCCGACCACCTGCCACATCTGACATTGTTAAGCATCTCATCTTCCTCTCTTTAAAGTCACGTGAAACACTGAATCAAAGAACAGTGCCTATCATTTAAAAAGTCACATTTATCAAACGTTGTTCCTTGGGCAGGTGCTTTTAAGTCTTTTAACTGTTTCTTAAGAAATATACTTGGGGGCTTCCCTGGTGGCGCAGTGGTTGAGGGTCCGCCTGCCGATGCAGGGGATACGGGTTCGTGCCCTGGTCCGGGAAGGTCCCACATGCCGTGGAGTGGCTGGGCCCGTGAGCCATGGCCGCTGAGCCTGCGCGTCCGGAGCCTGTGCTCCGCAATGGGAGAGGCCACAACAGTGAGAGGCCCGCGTACTGCAAAAAAAAAAATAAAAGAATAAAAGAAATACACTTGGCTAGAATATGTTGAAATTACAAGCTTATGCCGCTGTTTCTCGCCTTATTGATCTTAATCGTTGGGACCTTCTTGTGGTAGATAAGGTGAGCTTCCTCCCTGGTGTGGTTATATATTTTTAGTCTCTTTTTTTTCTTGAATAATCTTTTGTCTCTTTTTTAAGAGTCGATAGTTGTCTTTTAAAGGTTTGTGTAGTTTTTAAGGTACTTATGCCTGTTCCGCTCACAGCATCCAGTGGTCTCTCAGTATCACACTTCATCATAAAATTATTACCTTCATCTGCCCGGGCTGCCATCACAAAACACCACAGATGGAGTGGGCACAATGGCGGGAATTTATCGTCTCACAGTCTGGAGGCCGGAGGTCCCGAATGAGGTGTCAGCAGGGCTGTCCAGGCCCCCTCCTCCGCGTGTGGACGGCAGGCTTCTCCACGGCTCTTCCCATCGTCTGCCTTCCTTGCCTTTGTGTCCACATTTCCCCTTTTTACAAGGGTACCGGTCTTACTGGGTCAGGGCCACCCTCCTCTTAACTCAGTACATCTGCTATGACCTTATTTTCAAGTAGGGGCCCATTCTGAGACACTGGGGGTTAGGACTTGAACATGTAAATTTGGGGGGACACAATTCACCCCATATCAAGGACCTACGGGGAGAATTCTGGCCTTTAAACCGACAGTTGTGCTCCCAGAGCAGTTGGCTTGCTTTCACGTTTCCTGACACTGGGACTCGTGGGGCTGGTCACCTTCTGTCCGCACGTTGGCTGCATCTCCCCGCCAGCAAGTCGTATCCGGGATTCCAGGCTGTGCGTTTTTTTGGCTTTATTTTCTGGGCTGTTGATTCAGTTTCTCCCATTCTTCTGATTATGATGACCTGCAGTACTCATATACAACTTGATTAGCCACTTTCATTCTCTGAGGACCAGTGAGCCATATAAGTAAAGAATTTCACTTTTATTTCTCCCTTTTTCCTATTTTTTTCCCCCAGCCATTCTCTTGCCAGTCCCCTTCTTTTTCCTTCCTTTCCGAGGCTGGCCTTAGAGCACCCTCTGATATTTAAAGTCAGACCTCCCTCGAAGGCTTTATTAAAATGGGAAAGGTGGGCTTCCCTGGTGGTGCAGTGGTTAAGAATCCGTCTGCCAAGGCAGGGGACACAGGTTCGAGCCCTGGTCTGGGAGGATTCCACATGCCGCGGAGCAGCTAAGCCCGTGCGCCGTAACTACTGAGCCTGCGCTCTAGAGCCAGTGAGCCACAACTACTGAGCCCGCGTGCCACAACTACTGAAGCCCGCGCGCCTAGAGCCAGCGCTCTGCAACAAGAGAAGCCACCGCAATGAGAAGCCCGCGCACCGCAATGAAGAGTAGCCCCTGCTCGCCACAACTAGAGAAAACTCGCGCACAGCAACAAAGACCCAACACAGCCAAAAATTAATAAAATAAAATAAATTTTTTAAAAAAGCTTTAAAAAAACAAAACGGGAAAGGTCATTAGGGAAGCTTCGTTTCTCATCCTCTATTTCTGAGAACGTGTTTCTTCCCATAGGGAAAATCCTTAAGTCTCATTTGTGGGGCCCTCTCCTGGCTCCGCGACTTTGAACAGAAGAAACAGGAAGAGGAGGAGCGTCTCCTTGAGGCCGGAGCCGACCCCTTAAACGATGGGAAGGGCCAGGCCCCGTGTCCCCCACCCTCCTGCCAGCAGAGCCCAGGCTCCCCGAGGGCCGCTGGAGAGCCCGACTGGGTCACTCAGTTTGTGCAGAAGAAAGAAGAAAGGGAGCTGGTGGACCGGCTAAAGGTGAGATCGGGTTGCGAGAGGTGGGGTGATCCGGAAGCGGGGCCTCCGGGAGGATTTCGGGTGGATCCCGAAGCAGGACAGCTCGTGTCCTCACGGTGCCCCTCAGCCCCCCGGCCACCGCCCTGGTGGAGGGTGCTGCGCCCTCGCTGTCAGTAGAAAGCTGATGTCACCAGGCCTTCCCTAGGTTGGCGGTTCCCATCCTTTCCCAGGAAAGGAACCGCACCGTTGCCATTGGCCACAGGCTTCCCTGGCTGCAGACTCGCTTACGGGCTGCACTGGATGGAGAGCGTGGGGCTTCGGGAGGGAGGCGCGCACTTCCCGCAGCAGTGAGCTCGACAGCTTGGCCGACAGGAGGCTGGCAGGGCGGGGAGGTGCGCGGGGACCGTGGGAGGCTGGGGCTTCCTGCAGGGGTCTCCTTTCTGGCTCCCTCCCCTCTAGGAGGGGCAGGTCAGGAGGAAGAAGCGAGAGGAGCGCCTTCGGCAGATCCGTCACAACGCGTCGCTCAAGTTCGCAGCCAAGCGCATGGTGAGTGGCGGCCCGTGTCAGGGTGGCGTCCCCCTGCATGAGGCCTCACGGTGAGGCTGATGCGGGCAAGCGCCGGGACCTCAGCCCCTCCCCGTGCCCTCTGGCTACGTGCTCCTCGCCTGGTAGCAGGGCAGCCTGCGCTGAGGGACTCATCCTGGGGCCTTGACACCCGTCGGGTGAGGCCCGTGTCGATGGCGTGTGTGTCGCTGCCCTTGGCCTGTTCCCCAGAGGCTGCCTCGCCAGCGGGTGGGGCTCTGGCGCTGAGGTTTCTTTCTCTTTCCCCACTGGCCACGCTCCTCCGCAGAGACAGGAAGATGAAGAAACTGAGCGTCTCCTCCGCCTGAGCAGGGAGATGCTGGCAGCAGGCACGGGGCCCGAGCAGCTGGCCTGGGGGGAGGATGAGCTGGTCCTCGCCGAGTACGAGAGTGACGAGGACAAAGGCTCAGCCAGCGGGTGAGAGCACGTCCCCTGCATCCCCTGCCCTGGGGTGGCTGCGCGGGGCTCCTTCCTCTCGGGCCCGGCTTCTTGGTCACTCGTGGGGCACCGACGGGGCGGGAACCCGGCTGCCTGCCCTCCTCCCCCGGCGAGGCCCCTCCTCGGGGCACAAAGGATGACGACAGGGGCCCTTTCTCTGCCAGCTCAGGCAGGTGTCACCTCCGTACCCTCCGTGGTATTCTTGTCTCCACTCTGCACCCAGGACACCGAGCCCAGCAGGATGCTGTGCCTTGGCCGAGGCCACCAGCCGGCGACCTGAACCTCCGCTGGCCCGGCTCTAAGTCTCAGGCTCTTAATACCAAACTGGGCCGTGTGAGGCCTGTGACGTAAGCCCTCGAGGTGTCCTCAGTCCGTGTTTTTCTTTTCACCTGAGGCTTGGCTTGGTCTAGGTTCATAGGTTTCTAGTTTGTGAGCTGTAACTTCCTGGGTGAACTAGAAACGCTGAAGGTAACACCTGGGCCGTTTCTAGGCCACGCCGTCCCCGTGAAATCCTCCCCGTCATTCGTGCTTTAATTTCACAAATGCCCTTTGAGCCTCTGCTGTCGGCGTGGCGCGTCCTGCCTCAGTGTTGGTGGCAGCTGACTGATGAGGGTGATGGTTGCTGAGGGCTGGGGGGGCCACGGCAGGTTCTTGAAATACGGCGACAGTGATGTTTGCCCCATCGATTGACTCCCCCTCTTACAAACAGTTTCTCTGTAGCAGCGACGCTGTTTGCATTTTACCTACAGTAGAGTTTCTTTCAAAATTGGAGTCAGTCCTCTCACACCCTGCTGCTGCTTTGTCAACTAAGGTTATGTAATTTTCTAAATCCTTTGTTGCCATTTCAAGAGTCTTCACAGCATCCTGACCAGGATTAGATTCCATCTCAAGAAACTGCTTTCTTTGTTCATCCATAAGACGCAACTGCTCATCCATTAGAGTTCGTCATGAGCTTGCAGCAGTTCAGCCCCATCTGCAGTCTCCATTTCTAATTCTAGTTCTCTTGCTGTTTTCACCACATCTGCAGTGACTTCCTCCACTGAAGTCTTGAACCCCTCAAAGTCATCCATGAGGGCTGGAATCAGTTTCTTCCAAACTCGTGTTCATGTTGATATTTTGACCTCTTCCTATGACTCACACATGTTCTTAATAACATCTAGAACGGTGAATCCTTTCCAGAAGGTTTTCAGTTGACTTTGCCCAGGTCCGTCTGTAGCTAAAGCCTTACAAATGTGTATCTGAAATAATGAGACTTGAAAGTCAAAGTTACTCCTTGAGCCGTGGGCTGCAGAGTGGATGTTGTGTTAGCAGGCATGAGACCAGCATTCATCTCACTGTCCGTCTCCATCAGAGCTCTTGGGTGACCAGGTGCGTCCTCAGTGAGTATTAATATTTGGAAAGCAACCTTTTTTTCCAGAGCAGTAGGTCTCAACAGTGGGCTTAAAATATTCCGTAAACTGTGTCATAAGCAGATGTGCTATTATCCAGGCTTTGCTGTTTCATTTGCAGAGCACAGGCGGGGTAGATTTAGCATAATTCTTCAGGGCTCTAGGATTTTCGGACGGTAAATGAGCATTGGCTTCACCTTAAAGTCACCAGCTGCATTAACCCCAATTAGAGAGTCAGCCTGTCCTTTGAAGTTTTGAAAGCCAGGCACTGACTTCTCCTCTCTATGAAAGTCATCGATGGCATCTTCTTCCAATATAAGGCCGTTTGGTCTCCACTGAAAATCCGTTGTTGGGTGTAGCCACTTTCGCCGCATCTTCCGGGTAACTTGCTGCAGCTTCTACCTCAGCACTCGCTGCTTCACTCTGCACTTTAATGTTATGCGGGCGGCTTCTTTCCTGAAACCTCACGAGTCACCCTCTGCTGGCTTCAGACTTTTCTTCTGCAGCTCCCTCACCTCTCTCAGCCTTCATAGAAGTAAAGAGCGTTAGGGCCTTTCTCTGGATTAGGCTTTGATTACAGGGATGTTGTGGCCGGTTTGATCTTCTATCCAGACCACTCAGACTTTCTCCATATCAGCAATAACACCGTTTTACTTATTATTCCTGTGTTCACTGGGGCAGCGCTTTTAATTTCCTTCAAGAACTTTTCCTTTGCACTCACAGCTTGGCTAACTCTTTGGCGTAAGAAGCCGAGCTTTTGGCCTGTCAGCTTTCAATATGCCTTCCTCACTAAGCTTAATTCATTTCTAGCTTTTTTTTTTGTGGCCTCTCCCGCCGCGGAGCAGAGGCTCTGGACGCGCAGGCCCAGCGGCCATGGCCCACGGGCTCAGCCGTTCCGCGGCATGTGGGATCCTCCCGGACCGGGGCACGAACCCGCGTCCCCTGCATCGGCAGGCGGACTCTCAACCACTGCGCCACCAGGGAAGCCCCATTTCTAGCTTTTGATTTAAAGTGAGAGACATGTGACCCTTCCTATCACTTGAACACTTAGAGGCCATTGTAGGGTTATTAACTGGCCCAATTTCAAGGCTGTGTCTCAGGGAATGAGGAGGGCCAAGGAGAGGGAGAGAGATGAGAGAATGGCTGGTCAGTGGAGCAGTCACAACACACACAACATTCAACAGTCATGTTTGTCATCTTGTATGGGCGTGGTTCGGGGCACCCAAGACAGTTACAATAGTGGCGTCAAGGGTCACTGATCACAGATCACCATAACAAATATAGTAATGATGAAAGTTTGAAATATTGCGAGAATTACCAAAATGTGCCACGGAGACACGAAGTGAGCAAATGCTGTTGGAAAACGGGCACCGATAGACGTGCTTGATGCAGGGTTGCCACCACAGACTTTCAATTTGTAAAAAAAAAAAAAGCAGTAAAGCAATGAGCAATAAAATGAGGCCTGCCTGTACTCGACGTGTAATATGCCTAAGTGATGATTCAACATATGTATATGTTGTGAAATGATTACCACCGTAAGGTTTAACACGTCCATCACCTCACATACTTAACATTCTTTTGTGTGGTGAGAACGTTTGGGATCTGCTCTTAGCAGCTTTCAGGTTTACAATACAGTGTTATTAACCATAGTCACCATGCATTACATGCCCAGGATTTGTACATCTTATAATGAAGTTTGTACCCTTTGACCACCTTCACCCATTTCTCCACCCTCCCCCTCCGAGTCCCTAGCAAATCACCAGTCTACTTTGTTTCTATGAATTTGGTGTTTTTAGATTCCGTACATGAGATCGTACAGAATTTGTCTTTCTCTGACACAGTTCACTTAGCATGCCCTCAAGGTTCATACATATTATTGCAAGTGGCAGGATTTCCTTCTTTTTTTAGTGGCTGAATAATATTCCGTTTTGTGTGTGTGTGTGTGTGTGTGTATGTAAAACACACCGTATTTTCTTTACCCATTCATCTGTCAAGGGACACTTAGGTTGCTTCCATGTCTTGGTTTTGTAAATAACATTGCAGTGAACGTGAGGATTCAGGTATCTCTGAGATGGTGACTTCATTTCCATTGTATAAACACCCAGAAGTGGGATTGCTGGATCAGACGGTACTTTTATGTTTTGAGGAGCCTCCTTACTGTTTTCCATAGTGACTATACCGATTTACATTCCCACCAACAGTGCACTAAGGTTTCCCTTTTTCTCTACCTCCTCACTAGCATTTATCTCGTCTTTCTGATCATAGCCATTCTAACAAGTGTGAGGTAGTATCTCACTGTGGTTTTGATTTGCATTTCCCTGATGATTAGTGATGTTGAGCACCTTTTCATGTGCCTATACCTGTTTGCTATTTGTATGTTTCTTTGGAAAAATGCCTATTCAGTTCCCCTGCCCATTTTTAAATTGGATTATGTGTGGCTTTTGGTGTTTTTTTTGTTTTTTGTGTTTTTTTTGCTATTGAGTTGTACGAGTTCCTTACATATTTTGGATATTAACCCCTTATCAGCTATATGGTTTTCAAATATTTTCTCCCATTCCATAGGTTGCCTTTTCATTTTGTTAATGGTTTCTTTTGTTCAGAAACTTTTTAGTTTGAAGTAGTCCCACTTATTTATTTTTGCTTTGTTGCTTGTACTTTTGGTGTTGTACCCAAAAAATCATTGCCAACACCAATGTCAAGGAGCTTTTTCCCTATGTTTTCTTCTAGGAGTTTTATGGTTTCAGGTTTCTTACATTTAAGTCTTTAATCAATTTTGAGTTAATTTGTGAGTGGTGTAAGATAGGTGTCTAGTTTCATTCTTTTTCACATGAATATCCAGTTTTCCCAGCACCATTTGTTGAAGAGACTGTCTTTTCTCAATTGGGTATTCTTGGCCCCCTTTTCAAATTAGTTGACTGTATACACAGGGGTTTATTTCTGGGCCCTCAATTCTGTTCTGTTGGTCTATGTGTCTGCTTTTATGCCAGTACTGTACTGTTTTGATTACTATAGTTTTGTAATATAGTTTGATATCAGGAGGTGTTGATACCTCCAGCTTTGATCTTCTTTCTCAAGATTGCTTTGGCTATCTTTCCTGGTTCTGTATGTTTTTTAGGGTTGTTTTCTCTATTTCTGTAAAAAATGCCATTGGAATCTTGGTGGCGGTTGAGTTGAATCTATAGATGGCTTGGGTAGTATGGGCATTTTAGTAGCATTAATTCTTCTGATTCATAAACGGGCTATCTTTCCATTTGTTTGTGTCTTCATCAATTTCTTTTATCAAAATCTTGTAGTTTTCAGCATACAGATTTTTCAGCTCCTTGGATGAAGTTATTCTTAAGTATTTTATTTTTTTAATGCCATTGTAAATGAGATTGTTTTCTTTATTTCTTTTTCAGATAGTTTGTTGTTAGTCTATAGAAATGCAACTGACTTTTGTATGTTGATTTTTGAATCCTGCAACTTTACTGAATTTGTTTATTAGTTCTAACAGTTTTTTGGTCAAATCTTTAGGGTTTTCTACGTATAAAATCATGTTATCTTCAAACAGACAATTTTACTTCTTCCTTTCCAAATTGGATGCATTTTATTTCTTTTTCTTGCCTGATTGCTCCGGCTAGGACTTTAGTACTATGTAGAGGATGAGTGATAAGAATGGGCACCCTTGTCCCTGATCTTAGATGAAAAGCATTCAGCCTTTTACCACTGAGCGTGATGTTAGCTGCAGGCTTGTCACATATGGCCTCATTGTGTTAACGTATGTTCCTTCTCTTCAATTTGTTGAGAATATTTATCATGAGAGGATGTTGAATTTTGTCAGATGCTTTTTCTGCATCTGTTGAGATGATCATATGATCTTCTGTCTTCCATTTCGTTCATGTGATGTAGCACATTTATTGATTTGCTTATGTTGAAGCATCCTTGCGTCCCAGGGGTAGATCCTCCTTGATCGTGAAATATGATCTTTTTAACGTGCTGTTGAATTTGATGTGCTTTGGTTGAGAATTTTTGCATCTGTATTCAGCAGGGATACTGTCCTGTAGTTTTCTTTTCTTCTGGTACCCTTATCGACTTTGGTATCAGAGTAACGCTGGCCTCATGAAATGAGTTTGGGAATATTCCCTGCTCTTCGGTTTTCTGGAAGCATTTGAGAAAGATTGGCATTATTTCTTAATTTTTTTTTTTTTTTTTGCGTTACGTGGGCCTCTCACTGCCGTAGCCTCTCCCGTTGCAGAGCACAGGCTCCGGACGCGCAGGCTCAGCGGCCATGGCCCACGGGCCCAGCCGCTCCGCGGCACGTAGGATCTTCCCGGACCTGGTCACGAACCCACGTCCCCTGCATCGGCAGGCAGACTCCCAACCACTGCGCCACCAGGGAAGCCCTTCTTTAATTATTTGGTAGAATTCACCGGTGAAACCATTTGGTCCTGGGCTTTTCCATGTTGGTGCTCAGAGTCCTGCCCTGAGGCACCGGTTCCAGGGCCTGAATTAGAACTAACACTTGTGATCCTGCCCAGGGCTGAGATGCTAACTGCTCTACGCGTCCCCCATCTCTCTCTGGCGGGGGACAGGAGCAGCCAGTGCCCTGTGGCCTTTCCTGCTCTTCTGTTCCTCCCCAGGGGACGAGGTAAAAAACTTTAGTGGAGTTTGCGAATATTCAAGGAAAAAGTACTCGCTAGGGTCCAGGCCAGGGCCGCCAGTCCTGCAGCTTGGCTTCCGACGCCCTGGGTTCGGGGGACAGCAGCCTCTGAGGACACACCCACCTGGTTCTGAACACAAGATGTTCTTCACTCCCTCCTACACGCAGCCCCTCATGGGGTCCTGCCGACTTTGTCCCCACGTGGCATGTGATTTAAATCCCGGCCTTTCACACAGAGCTGCCTGAACAATCCTCTGTTGACCAGGAGGCCGACCCTGTTGATAACTCCTCTCTGAGAGCCCTAGACAGTGCACATTTCTGCCTTTAAAAATTGAATTTCCAGGTGAATAAAAACAAAACACAAAAGTCCGAGAAGACTTTTTCCGTGCTGTGTGTTTTTTCCTCTCTCAGAGTAGACGCGGATGAGGATGACCTGGAGGAAGAACATGTAACTAAGGTGAGACACCAGGTCCTGGGTCTTCTGTGACTGACCTGGGTCCAGGGAGGAGGTGGGAGCCCCCGAGTCTCCAGGTGCTTGGCAGGGGGGCTGGGTCCCCGGGAGACGCCTGCGCCCCAGGGCCTCGAGGGGCAGCCTTTCCACTGGGGGTGGCAGGAGGTGGGGGACGGGTGCTCTGCCCCTGGCTCTCAGTGGCTCGTCCCCTGTCCTCTGGTCTGAATTTGCATTTGCCTGGGGTGCTGGGAGCTGTGTGTGGTTCTGACGCTGCTCAGGCTTCGTGTGTGTGGGACTTCGGGTTTTCTCTGTTGACATTAGAAACCCCCCCACCCCCCTTTTCCTCTCTTCCTCCTCGGCTCTCCTAAATCTTGGAGGGGCGCACAGAGAGGTGAGCTCAGCCTCCTCCTGCTTCGCCCCCCAAGCCCTGGGAGGTGCATGGGGACCCGCCTGCCCCGCTTCCCCCTACTCCCCGGACTCTTGGAGTCCTCCCTGTGTCAGGAGCCACCACTGAGGGGAAACTCCCTTTCCTGAGATGACCGAGCCTCCCAGAGGGGCAGGAGCAGGGGCCCAGCATGACCCTGGCCTGAGGGCTCGCAGAGGTCTGCCCGGGGGCGGTCGCCTTCCTTAGGTCTTTGTCCCGGGTGCCCTGTCCATTCCCTCGGCCTCTCAGGCCCCAGCCCTCCTTGCTGTGCCGAGAACGTTTGGGGCTGACAGTCTTCCCTGAACCCCGAACCCCGCTACCCCGAGCAGATTTACTACTGCAGTCGAACGCACTCGCAGCTGGCCCAGTTCGTGCACGAGGTGCAGAAGAGCCCCTTTGGCAAGGACACTCGGCTCGTCTCCCTGGGCTCTCGGCAGGTGAGCGCAGGCGGGGCGGGGCCAGGCGGGCGAGCGGGGCGGGCGGGACCGGCCCCTGTGCCTTGCTGCTCCTTGGAAGGAAGGACCTGCTCCTGGAAGGCGGGCAGGCCCGGTGGCTTGCTCTGTGTCGCTTAGCCAGCCCCGTGTCCTTTACCCTCTCCTCTGTCTTGTAGAATCTTTGTGTCAATGAAGATGTGAGAAAGCTAGGTTCTGTGCAGCTCATCAACGACCGCTGTGTGGAGCTGCAGAGAAGCAAACACGGTAGCCTCCAGCGCCCCGAGGCTGTAGGGAGGGCCTCTGGGACCGTGTGCAGCCCTGGGACGGGGGAAACGGCGGGAACGAGGGCAGAGCAGACCGGGCTTCCTTCCTAAAGAGCCTCACGTGGGGAAAAAGGTCTTTTTGCTTTTTAGTCTGGATCTAGTCCAGTACCCTGGCCAGGAGGCGATATCATAGGCCTCTTCTAGAGAAGACGAGGTAAAATGCCAGGATGTTTCGAAGAGTCTGTAAGCAGCAGTTCCGGAAGGGTTTAGCGGCCCCGCCCCGTGGTACAGACCCCTTCTGGCCCCGCGGTCAGAACCTCAGCTGAGGTTCTTTCTGCCTTTGCCCCTGTGCCTGCGCCCCTCAGAGGAGAAGAGCGTCATCGAGGAGGAGAAGCCCGGGAGGAGGAGGAGGCTGGAGCCGCGGGCCACCTGCCCCTTCTACAACCATAAGCAGCTGCAGCTCCTCCGGGACGAGGTGCTGTTGGAGGTGAAGGACATCGAGCAGCTGGTGGCCCTGGGGAAGGAGGCTCGGGCCTGTCCCTACTACGGGAGCCGGTTCGCCATTCCAGCAGCCCAGGTGAAGACCCTGGAGGCTGGGCGGTGGCTCTCGGCTCTGAGCGGGGGCCCAGGAGGGAGTTCTCACTCCTCTTTTGGTTCGGGAGGGTGTCACTGGCCGTGGTTGTCTGCCCGACACACCGCCCACTGAGGACACGTCACCCACTCTCTCCTGGTACATGGGCTTGGAGGAGGCCCCAGGTGCCTAGGTGGCTCTGGGCTGCAGGGACGTTTGGCGTCCTGGGGGATGGCGCATTAGCGCCAGGGCAGAAACTAGAGCGCCGTGGGGAGCTACGGGACGCAAAGGTCTTTCCAGGTGCCCTTTGGGTGCGTGGTCGTCCCACCTCGCGTACCTGCCTGCAGCACAGGTGGAGACCCTTCCCTAGACTTGCTGTATGGAGTCAAAAATGATATCATTGTTATTTGGTGGTATGATTTAACTGTTTTCTTTCTACTCCCTTAATTTGAATGACTTTTGGAAATAACGTATCGTTTATGGAGAATTTCATATAATCAAGAGAAGACTTCCATAGATTTTTAAAGATGCAGGGAACTGTGTTAGTAATAACATCACCTGGCAGTTAGACGCTTGTCAGTGTGCTGCCCGGAACTGAGTGTGAGGGTCACCGAGAAACTGGGGAGCCCACCCAGCCTCACGGTGGTCTCAGCCCTCCTGGGGTCTGGACACACTTGGGTGCCAATATAGTGAGATATCCTGAAACTCTTATGATCTCGACTTTTTAAGGCACTTTGCACGTCGTTTTTGTTTATAGTAGCCCACTGAAATAGCTAAGGCAGGTATTATTCGTATTCTACACGTGAGGACCCCCGGGGCCCAGAAGGGTTAAGTGATTGATGTGTTTTCTCACAGCAAATGAGTAGCAGAGTCGGTGTTAAAACCTGGGCCTTAAGTTTCCAGTTTTTTGGATTTTCACTTTATCGGTATCCTTTTAACTGGAAAATCGTCATAACAACACGGCACCTAAGAGATTGACAGAGTGCTTTCATTTTTGTTACCCCGCCTCCCCACCCCTTAACCCTCATTTGAGATAGACTTCCTCAAGCCCGTTTTGCAGACGAGGAAACCGAGGCTCAGAAAGGTTGACTGTCCCAGAGTCAGACAGCTGGGAAGTGGCGGCCCCAGGGCCAGAACCCGGGGCTGCTTTCTGGGCCCAGTGCTGTCACAGCGTGTTGAGGGACCTTGGTGCGTTGGGGGCGCAGAAGGGGCTCTGCAGCAGGGGCTCCAGGCTCCTCCGCCCCTCCGCCCTTGGTCCACTCGGAAGTGCAGTCGGCTCCAGTTTTATCTCTTCTGTAGCTGACGTTCCACATAAGACTTTCCGGGGAAGGTTCTCCAGCTCAAAGCACAGTGCGCTGCTCTAGCTTTCTCTCCGGAGTGCCCGCCTACGCGTGTTCCGGGGGCTGGGCCCGCCCACTGTGGGAGGGGTCCTGCTCCCGCCTCAGGCCGCCTCTCCCCCTCCAGCTGGTGGTGCTGCCCTACCAGATACTGCTGCACGCGGCCGCCCGGCAGGCGGCGGGGATCCGGCTGCAGGGCCAGGTCGTGGTCATCGACGAGGCCCACAACCTGATCGACACCATCACCGGCATCCACAGCGTGGAGGTCAGCGGTTCCCAGGTGGGTCGGCCTCTGCCTTCCCAGGCCAGGGCCTGCCGCGGGGGGCAGCGGGCGCGCTGAGCCGAGGCCGGGGCCCCCCAGCGTGACTGAGGACGGGACCCAGCCCAGGCAGCGGGCGCTTCGCTTGCTTCTCCCCAGCCTGTGTCGCCCAGAGTCCTCCGGGCCAGGGTGCTGCTAACTAGGTCTCCGTGACCCGGATGGTGGGATGAGAAGCAGGGGTCCTTGTGCAGCTGGTTGTTACTGTTGATACTGCTTTGAGGGATGCTCGAGGTTTCTGAAAGCCGCTGTTCATTGCCCATCATGTGCCCTGCACCACATCCTCACGCTGACTCTGCGTCGGGCTGGTGGCTGTTTTATGTAGAGACTCGGAGGCTGAGAGAGGGTTAAGCACTGCCCCTGAGGTCAGCCTGGGATTTGACCAGCGGTTTCTGACCCTCAAGCCCATGTGACACCCACCCCCTGGACTGCCCAGTGCCGGCTGGCCTGGACTGAGCCGTGATGGTTGCCTGGAACCGGCTCTCCCAGCAGACAGCATGTCTTTCCCACCCCAGGAAGCACTAGCAGGGACGTTCGTTATCTGCGAGTCATCGTCTTCCCCTTTCCCTGACCCTCAGCGGATGCCGCTGCACCGGCGCCCCTTCACCTCGACTGTCCCCCAAGTGTCCTGGGCTGGCGTTGTCCAGGCATCGTCGAGGGCATCTCTGGCACGGCCCCAGGCTGCTGGTCTAGGGCCTGCTCTGCCATCACATCGCTCTCTGTTCTCCCCCCAGCTCTGCCAGGCCCACTCCCAGCTGCTCCAGTACATGGAACGATATGGGTGAGACGTTGCCCCCCGAGGGGTTGGGAAGGCCCCGCTCAGCCTCGGCACCCCAAAGCCAGCCTGCGAGAGGAGGCACCGGGGTAGCATCTGGCCGGGCCCAGCATGATGGGGGCCAGCGTGCTTTCGCCTCCTGTTCGTTAGGCGTGCACCCCAGGAGGCCGTGCAGGCCCTGGGCCACAGTGAGCCGCCCTTCTGGGAGAGTGTGTGTAGCTCGTGACCCAGTTGGGAAGACAGCAGACAGGAGGGCCTCAGCTCAGGCACCGGGAGGGGAAGCCGGGGTCCTCCCGCCGATGTCCACTGGCTTCTCCCCAGGAAGCGCTTGAAGGCCAAGAACCTGATGTACATCAAGCAGATCCTGTACGTGCTGGAGAAGTTCGTGACGGTGCTGGGCGGTAAGGAGCATCCCCGCCCCGCGGCCAGCTGCTGAGCCCGCTGGGCTCCGTTCCCCGGACGCCAGTCAGGACCCCTGGGGTTTCTGTCTCTCAGGAATCGCCTTGGCCATTGACTTAGAGAATTCTTATTTGTCCGGCCTTAGACCTTTGTTTAGAGCCCTGGTTGATTTGCCCCTGTTCTGAGTCCAGGCCCGACCCCACAGGTGGCAGTAATAATAATATATTGTGATATAAATGTGTGTATGACACTTTACGTCACAGTGATGGGACTCAGGACTCGGGTGCTCCTGTGAGGAAGGCGGCGCAGGCACGGTAACCCTCAGGCCAGTAAACTGAAGCCCGGAGCCGAGGTGACCGGCCTGTGGTTCGTGAGCCCGGTGAGAGGGACTGGAGTCTTCCGGCTCCGGGGCCCACACTTCTTGGCATCATTCGGAGCCACACGACTTCCCTCTGGCAGTTCCTGTGCAAGCTTTTATAGAAGCTGAAGGGCAGAAAGGCAGCAGGGCTTTTCGGGGGGATCTGTCTCACGTTGATGCTCTTCACTGGGTCTCTGCCGTGCAGCCTGGGCGTCTCCTGCTGGCGCCCGTGTGGAGTGGGGCGTCCCTATCCCCGCCTCCTCGGAGGATGTGGGAAAGGATGACATCGCCAGGCTCGGGCTGCGTGTGCACGTGGGTCAGACCTTGAGGCCCCCCTGCCCCCTTCGTGGGGCCTTTGGGTGCTGTAAATGGCAGAAGACCCCTTCAGATAGGAGCAGAGGGGGAAGATGGGGGCCAGAGGCCCACCGTCCTGACCTGTTTGATTCTCTTTTGTAGGGAACGTTAAGCAAAGCCCGAATACCCAGAGCCTGTCTCAGGCAGGTAAGAGCAGGTGGGAGCCGTTTCTGAGCTGCCCTCTGGGGCGCGGAGGCCACGGTCCTCAGAGCGAGGGCTTCAGGGCCCTTCGCTTGTTTGCCCTTAGGGACGGAGCTGAAGACTGTCAGCGACTTCCTCTTTCAGAGCCAGATCGACAACATCAACCTGTTCAAGGTAGGTTTTCACCTTTGTGTGGCACATCCAGGTTCCTTTTCTGCCCACCCCCCGTGGGCGGAACAGCGTTAAGACGGTGGAAGGAATAGAAAGTAAATTCCTTCTGTCCTTGAGCAGCCTCGAGGTCCGAGGGTCTGTAGAGTCACTGTACCTGACCCTCACACACAGCTCGTGTCGCAGGAGGGCAGAGTCTTCAGCCTGGGGCGGAGGGTCACGGGGAGCCGTGCCTTCCTCTCTGTGTAATAAGCGGACGCTCGCAGGTGCCTCCCCTCCACCTGTCTTCGGGCACAGTCTTCCCGGGCGCTGGGCAGAGCACGAATGACTTTGCGATCAGCTGTCGGGCTGAGGTGCCTGAGAGCGCGGCTAGGGTGCTTGGCCTGGGTTGGGCCCAGCCTCAACCTTTGCTCCCTCCAGATGGGGCTCAGGCTCTGTCGCTTGACGGACGACCTTAGTGAGTCTGGTCTGCTGACGACACGGCACCGTGTCCAAGGCAGTGCGTGGGTCCCGTGACTCCAAGGGAGGGGCGCCCCGTCATTCAGGCTCCCCAGCTCAGGAGGACGGCACGCCGCACACGCGAGGGTGCTGGTGGTGCTCGGTGGAGCCCAGGGTGACCCGGCTGTGTGGGCTCAAGGCCCCGCTCCCCCTTCCCCTTCACACCAGCTGCCCCCTGGCCTGGTCGCTGCCATCCCCCGCCAGGCGGGCGGCAGGCCGAATGGCCTTGGACTCCTTTCCCCCTCGCCTCGCATCCACATGCTGCCAGGCCCTGACCCCGTGCTCTCATCCCACAGCTGCTGCCCCAGAGCAGGCGGTTGCCCTCCTCGCTCCTCTCTGGTCTCTGGTCCTGTTCTCTGCCTCGTGTCTCTTTTACAGACTACAGTCCGGTGACGTTTTTTCTTTTTTCTCTTTGGCCACACCACGCAACTTGCAGGCTCTTTAGTTCCCTGACCAGGAATCAAACCTGCACCCTTGACAGTGAAAGCGCAGGGTCCTAACCACTGGACCACCAGGGAGTTCCTCAGTGAATCTTCTTTTTTTAACATCTTCATTGGAGTATAATTATTTTACAATGGTGTGTTCGTTTCTGCTATACGTAACACATATCTCCATATCCCCTCCGTATCCCACCCCTCTAGGTGGTCACAGGGCACCGAGCTGATCTCCCTGTGCTATGCGGCTGCTTCCCGCTAGCTATCTGTTTTACACTTGGTAGTATATATAAATCCATGTCACTCTCTCACTTCATCCCAGCTTACCCTTCCCCACTGTGTCCTCAAGTGTGTTCTCTACGTCTGTGTGCATCTTTATTCCTGCCCCCTAGGTTCATCAGTACCGTTATTTATTTATTTATTTAAATTTATTTATTTACTTATTTTTTGGCTGTGTTGGGTCTTCATGGCTGCACACAGGCTTTCTCTAGTTGCAGCGAGCGTGGGCTACTCTTTGTTCCGGTGCACAGGCTCCTTGTTGCGGTGGCTTCTCTTCTTGCAGAGCATGGGCTCTAGGCGCGCGGGCTTCGGTAGTTGTGGCTCATGGGCTCTAGGGCTCAGGCTCAGTAGTTGTGGCGCACAGGCTTAGTTGCTCCACAGCATGTGGGATCTTCCTGGACCAGGGCTTGAAGCCACGTCCCCTGCATTGGCAGGTGGATTCTTAACCACTGCGCCACCAGGGAAGCCCCAGTACCATTTTTTTTAAATTCCATATATATGTGTTAGCATGTGATATTGTTTTTCTCTTTGTGACTGACTTCACTCTGTATGACAGACTCTACGTCCATCCACCTCACTACACATATAATTATAATTTCGTTTCTTTTTATGGCTGAGTAATATTCCACTGTATATATGAGCCCCATCTTCTTCATCCATTCATCTGTCGATGGACGCTTAGGTTGCTTCCGTGTCCTGGCTATAGCAGATAGAGCTGCAGTGAGCACTGTGGCACGTGACTTCCTGAATTACGGTCTCCTCATCCCAGTGAATCTTAGTGGCGGATGGCCCCTTTTCAGAGGTCTTCAGGGGCTCCGCACCCCTCATCGTGCACATTGTGCTCACAACCAAGCTCCTCCACGTGCCCCTGACCTAGCCCAGCTCTCCCTTTTTTTTTTTTTGCGGTACGCGGGCCTCCCACTGCTGTGGCCTCTCCCCTTGCGGAGCACAGGCTCCGGACGCGCAGGCTCAGCGGCCATGGCTCACGGGCCCAGCCCCTCCGCGGCATGTGGGATCCTCCCGGACCCGGGCACAAACCCGCGCCCCCTGCATCGGCAGGCGGACTCTCAACCACTGCGCCAGCAGGGAAGCCCCAGCTCTCCCTTTTGTGTCGTGCTTTTGCTCATAGGATTTTTAAAAAACTACCTCTTAATCCTCAAGGTCCAGCTTTGCTGTCATGGTGCAGGAGAGCAGAGGGGACGTGGCCATCACCAAGCGCCTTCAGAGAGGAGAGGCTGTGCTGTGCTGCCGAGTCCCTTCTGTGGCAGGGCGCCATGTGCGCGCGCGTGTGTGTGCGTGTGTGTATGCGTGTGTGCGCGCATGCACCCGCAGCGGGGGGGACGGTGGCAGAGGGGAGGCCTCAGGCAGGAGGGTGATGCGACCACAAGAGGCGCTTTGGGCCCCTGGGGGGTGGCATGGGCCTGCTCCTGTCGTTTGGAAGGTGGCTTTCTCCAGCTGGATTTGTTTTCCCGGCGCCTCTGGCTGGGTTTGCTTTCGCAGGTGAAGCGCTACTGTGAAAAGAGCATGGTCAGCAGAAAGGTACGTGTCCCTTTGCGCGGGCCCCCGTCGCTGTCCTCCGTGCGTCTCTTCTCCTGGCCTGCCGAACCTCCGAACGCCCTGTCTCCGTGCTCACCATGCGGCAGCTCACCGGGGGCGGGGAGAGGCCCGTCCGGCTCCCTCTCACAACCACTGCTCTCATCCCTGTCCCAGCTCTTCGGCTTCACAGAGAGGTACGGGGCGGTCCTAGCGCCCTCCAGGGAGCAGCCCAAACTGTCCGGGTTCCAGCACTTCCTGCAGAGCCTGCAGCCGGGGGTGACTGCGGGTGAGTCAGAGGGGGAGCCTGGGCAAGAGTTGGCCTTCCTCACGCATGGTCTTCCCGGAGGATGGCTTTAGCCCAGGTGCAGGGAGCCCCCTGCTGTCCGGGCTCCCAGACCCTTCTCCTTTCTCTGCTCTGTGCAGCTCCTGCAGCCCCCGCAGAGGAGGGGGAGGACAGGGCACCGCGGCCCGCTTCCCCGCTGATGCACATCGAAGGCTTCCTCGCAGCTCTCACCACTGCCAACCAGGATGGCAGGGTCATCCTGAGCCGTCAAGGTAACCCCGGGAGGAGCCAGCCTGGAGCCAGGCTGCTTTACTTCCATCTGGTACCCCACCAGCTTGGGATGCAGAAATGGGTGAAAACTGGCCACCTGTGACCCACGCCAGTAGTCGAGGGGGTGAGGAGGGATGAAGAGGTGCTGGGCTGCTGGCTGGTCTCGGGCGAGGTTGCCAGAGACTCCACATAGCCCAGTGTGAAGGTCAGGTGGGCTTTGTTGGAGTCATGGCTCCATCACCTATGAGCTGCATGACTTGGACCAGTTTCTCCCTAAATCTCAGTTCTTCATGTGAAAAGGGAGACAGTCCTGCCATCTACCTCAGGGTTGTCCTGGAGATGAGATGGGTCTAATTTAAAGAGAAAGTTGTATCTCTTATGGCTTCTACATGGACCCGACTGGACATCCCCTTTGTCTCAGGCAGATGGAGGTCTCTGTTGGGCCTGCACCTGCCCTTCTCCATGTAGCTGTCTTTCTCTTTCTTTAGGCAGCCTCAGTCAGAGCAGCCTCAAATTCCTGCTCCTGAATCCAGCCGTGCACTTTGCCCAGGTGGTAAAGGAATGCCGGGCGGTGGTCCTCGCAGGGGGCACCATGCAACCGGTAAGGACACGGCCCAGCCTCTCGCGCCCAGCTGCTGGGATGGGGAGGATGTAGCATCAGGCCTCTTCCCATCCTGTGAGTCCCCCAACCAGAAGGGGGTTAGCTTGAGCCAGCCACGCAGTGTCCACCAGGTGGCGCTGCTGTTCTGTGTCGTGGCTGGGTCTGGGGTGGGGTGGGCACTGCCCTGCCCTGGTGTCTCCAGAGAAAGCCATTCTGGAGCTTCAGACCCAGAATGGAGTGCCTTTCCATTCCTGTACCCACCATAGATACAACCTTCTCTTTCTTTGATAAATTTAAGTTTTAGTATACATATTTAGGAAACTGTTATATTTTCATTGTAGGGAGCAGAGACAAGCAAAAACAGGAAATAGATCATAATTCCACCAGCAAAAATTCGTTTTGGCGTATATCGTTACAATAGTCTTTGTACTCATAGTTTTTACAAATACACATACATATTTAAAAAACAAAAACAAAAACGGTATCTCCACATGCTGCTGTTGTAATTTGCTTTTCTCATTCAGCAGCAAAGCATCTTCAGCGTTTTTCCTTGTCAGCGAATACGCATTTATCCTGCCCAACTCTGGCCGCACTTCATTCCGTATGTGAATATGTTACATACGACCACCCTTCTTTTGTCAGGTATCTAGGCGATTTGCAGTTCTTCTGTTTTAAATGGTAGAGTGGGAGATACAATTGCATCTCTGCACAGCGGTCACTTCCTTAGGATGTGTCTTAGAACCAAGACTTACTGGCTGAAAGGCAAAGGCTCTTCAACCTCCTCAAGCCGTCAGCTCCCAACCTCAGCTTCCTGTTAGAGTCACCCCTGTAGCTGTATTATTTTTCCATTTTTCTTTCTTGTGTATAGAAGTAGACTTTTATTCACTGGTGTATTAGAATCATTGATAGTTGCTGTTTTTTGTTGCTGTTGTTTTTTAATTATTTTTGGCTGCGTTGGGTCTTCGTTGCTGTGCACAGGCTTTCTCTAGTTGCTGCGAGAGGGGGCTACTATTCGTTGTGGTGCATAGGCTTCTCATTGCAGTGGCTTCTCTTGTTGCGGAGCACGGGCTCTAGGCACGTGGGCTCAAGTTGTGGCGTGCGGGCTCAGTAGTTGTGGCGCTCACGCTCTGTAGTTGTGGCACACGGGCTTAGTTGCTCCGTGGCATGTGGGATCTTCCCGGACCAGGGTTCGAACCCATGTCCCCTGCATTGGCAGGTGGATTCTTAACCACTGCGCCACCAGGGAAGCCCACAGTCGCTGTTTTTGACGCTCAGGTTTTCTGAGACTTGGCCTGTGGGAACCCCTCGTGCTGCTCTGGTCCCTTTGACATGTGGCCCCTAGTCTTGGGATGCTTCCCTGCTTTCAGCACAAAAAGTGTCCCAGGCTCACCTTAACACTTTCCTTGCCCCAGACCTGGAACCATTCATTTGTCCAGGGTGCCCTGGTTTCTTCAAAGGGGGATTGGTACTTAGAAACCAACATCTGGGAGCTAGGGCGTTCATAGTGCTCCTGGGTCGTCACCGTTTATAGGCCGTTTCAGGGGACAGACCTCGGGAATAGTTTTCAGACATTATGAGTCCACAGTGACATTTCTGTATCAAAATCAGTCATTTTACTTGACCTTTTACGTAGTATCTGTTACGCTGCAGTTTGATTTCTTATCACATTAACATAATTACTTATTTGCTCTATCTCGAATATACTTAAAATAGTTTCAAAATTATACCAGTATTCTGGGACTTCCCTGGCGGTCCAGTGGTTAAGACTCTGCACTCTCAGTGTAGGGGGAACAGGTTCGATCCCTGGTCGGGGAGCTAGGATCCCACATGCAGCACAGTGTGCCCCCCCACACAAAAAAAAATTATACCAGTATTCTAACAAGAAACTACTGATTGAATTCATTTACATGCATTTATTTTTTGCCTTTAAAGTACCCCACTAAGGATATGTGGTCATTAGTGATACAAAGTCACTTGAAGTCAAGCTTTTCTCTGTGTGGCTATATTCTGAGTTTGATAGGGAGGTAGGCTTTCAGTTTTTGTTTTCAATTTTAGTTTGCCTTTTTACTTTATGTTCTTAAAAATGTCCACATCTGTATGGTTCAAAAGTCGAAACTATATAGCAAGACGTATTCCGAGAGTCTCACCTCTGTCCCTCTTCAAACCGTTCCCCATTCCCAAAGGTAATCATTTTTATTAGCTACTGAGTCTATTCCTCCAGTGTTTCGTTCTAATTTTTTTTTTTGCAAAGATGAGCAAATTTTTTTTCCTTTTTAATTTTTTTTTTTTTTTTGCGGTACACGGGCCTCTCACTGTTGTGGCCTCTCCCGTTGTGGAGCACAGGCTCCTGACGCGCAGGCTCACAGGCCATGGCTCACGAGCCCAGCCGCTCCACGGCATGTGGGATCTTCCCGGACCAGGGCACAAACCCGTGTCCCCTGCATCGGCAGGTGGACTCCCAACCACTGCGCCACCAGGGAAGCTCTCCCTTTCCTTTCTTACATTAAGGGGAGCTCAGTCAGCTTTAACTTCCCAGCATGCTCTGGCGATCACACGTTAGCAGTGCACAGGGTGGTCTGCGTTCCTTCTGTTAGCTGCATGGTCGACTGCTGGGGGAGATAGGGTAGCTCCTTCGGCCAGTCTCTCCTGAAATGCAGAATGTTACGGATAACCTCACAAGGACTGTCCTTGCGCATATGTTTGGTTTGTGGAGCTGTACTTCAGGGGAGATGCTTAGATAGGGGATTGTGGGTTAAAAGTAAACATATGTCTACTTTGTTAAATAGTGTCAAATTCCCCTTCCACAGGAGTCGTGCTATCCTGTGGCCCACAGGCAACATATAAGAATGCCTGGTTCTCCAGAGAGCAGTCAGACTTTGGGATTTTTGCCAGTTTGATAGGTGAAAACCCGGAGCTCTTTAAAAATACAAATGCATATGTCTTCCCACTAGAGATTCTTATTCAGTAGTTTGGGCTGGGCCCTGACCATATATATATGTTTTAAATTCTGAGTGGTGATTTTGTGGCATAGCCAGGGTTTAGAACCACTGTTTCAAATTGCTGAATTTCTCTTGCTGTTCCCACAAGTGGTTTAAATGAGGCTGCCAACACTGGGTATCATTATTTATTTTTTTTCTTTTAACGAATCTGTTACCAGCCTTTCCTTTTGCCTCTTTTTTCTGTTCTTACGTACTTGTCGCCTCCTGGCCCAGGCCTCTGGGAGATGACAGAGCTGGCTTTGTGGTCTGCAGGTGTCCGACTTCCGGGAGCAGCTGCTGGCGTGTGCCGGGGTGGAAGCTGAGCGCGTGGTGGAGTTCTCCTGTGGTGAGGACCCATGCCCAGGCTTTCGGGGCTGGGCCTCGTGTCACTGTTCAGCCGTGTGCTGTTGTCAGGCCCGGGGGCTGAGGCCACAAGAGGGCAGCTTCTTCGCGAGCTCCCCATCTCCGGGCTCTCCTGCTCTGCGTCCCCTGTGTCTGCACGGAGAGGCCTGGGCATCGCCGAGTCGGTCCCGTGTGGAAACGGGGTGGGGGGCGGGGGCTGTGAACTGCTCTTCCTAGTCTGGAAGACAGGGTCGGGGGAAGCTCTTCCTGGACTCTGCCTTGCGGGACAGTCGACTCCAGTTCAGCCTCACTGGGTCTCGCCAGGTCACGTGATCCCTGCAGACAACATCCTGCCCCTCGTCATCTGCAGCGGGCCCTCCAACCAGCAGCTGGAATTCACGTACCAGAAGAGAGAGCTGCCTCAGATGGTCCGTACCAGGCAGCCTGCCTTCCCACGGCCTTTGCGGGGGCAGGAGGCAGACTTCGGGCTGGGGGCACCCTGCCCCGGGCCGAGCATTCAGGCGCTGGGCTCTCCCATCACAGCAGGCACAGGGTGGGCAGGATCTAGAAGTTTACCACGGAAGGTCTGAGCCATCTCCAGCCTCATGCCTTCAGCTGCTGAGGACGTTTTCTTTAAACGAAGCTCACGAGCAGGCTGCTCAGTGCCTTTGGTTCTCTTGCCGTCTGGCTTTGTGGGCTCCGCCTGGGCAGGAATGTGGGTGTTGGGGGCACACCTCTAGTGGCATGCCTGGGGTTTTCAGTGCCTGATTTGTCACAGACGGGGCTTAATCCCCAGCAGGATGTTGGGAGTTGGAGAACAGTGGACTGAGCGGCATCCCACAGTGGGTTTTGGCTCTGGTGTGCCAGCACGTGGTGTGTCACAGATGCTACCAGGCGCCAGAAGCATCATTGGGTGTATGGTAGGGAGGGTGGCACATTCCGCCCTGGGGAGCCACCTGGCCGTGCTCCCCCGCAGTCACCCGTGGGTCGCTGTACTTGGCTTTGAGCCTTTTTGGGGGGCTTCAGGAATGGCTCCGTGGCAGGTTCCTTGTCTTCCCTCCCTAGATGGATGAGACGGGTCGCATCCTCTGTAACCTGTGCAACGTGGTGCCGGGAGGGGTGGTCTGTTTCTTTCCCTCCTATGCGTACCAACGCCAGGTCCACACCCACTGGGACAAGAGTGGCCTGCTGGCCCGCCTGGCTGTCAGGAAGAAGGTGAGTGGCTGCTCTGCTGGACTTCCCACTCGAGAGGACGCTGGCATCCAGAGCTCCTCCTTGGATTTCTTGTGTGCGGGGGCTTCAGCTAGTTCCTTACCCCCGCTTCCAATCCCTGATAACCATCCAGGGGATCTCCCCAAGGGCCCTGGCCCTGTGGGCTTCCCCAGTCTGGAAAACGTAAGGCCAAGAGCCACCCAAGACCCAGGCATTCTGAAACCCTTTTCTGGGAGACATTATATGTTTACCTTCAGATATTTCAGGAGCCCCAGAGAGTGAACCAGGTGGAGCAGGTGCTGCTGGAGTATTCCAGGTGCATTCAGGTAAGAGGTGTGGTTCTGAGGCCTTGGGTCCAAAGGGCACGTGGCGCTGGCAGCTGAAAGTACCGTGGCTGGCATCCACGCCCTGGCTCTGCAGCTCTGGGCTGGGTGTTTCCTGCAGCACTGTGGCCAGGCAGGGGGCATGGTGACAGGGGCCCTGATGTTCTCCGTGGTCGGAGGGAAGATGAGTGAAGGCATCAACTTCTCTGACAACCTTGGCCGGTAAGGGGTGGGCTTCCCATCTCCCGCGGCTCTGACACCCACCCATCTGGCACCTTCGGAGTCCCCACTTGGGCTGACCGCTCAGGCCCGTCACCCGCGAGGTGCACGGATGCAACAACTCTGGACTTGGCCCTTTGGGGCCAGGTGGAAAATCAGGCAGCCCCTAACTTGATCAGGACTCAGTTCCTTGGTCTAGACCGGATATCTCCGCTGAGAAAACCCTCTCCAGGTGGTAGGGACAAGGCGAGGGAGAGGCGGAAGGAAGTGGAGTGGAGGTGTGGGTGAGGACGGGCCCTTTGTCCTGGGCACCGCCCAGCTGCCGTGACTCGCGTGTGCCTCCGCCCTAGGTGTGTGGTCATGGTGGGCATGCCCTTCCCCAGCATCAGGTCTGCAGAGCTGCAGGAGAAGATGGCTTACCTGGACCAGACCCTCGTGAGTACCGCCAGTGCCTCGGAGGACGAAGGGAGGGGGCACCCCACGGCTGTGACTCCCCCTTGCCCTGGGACGTGTGTGTCCCGTTTGCTCCAGAGCGATGGGACGCCCCCTCCACAGCCCCTGAGCTTCTCCATGCCATCACCTATCATGCCGGCTGCTGTGCCCACGAGGCCCACGGGTCCCGCTCCAGAGCCCGGCTGTGTCACTGTCACCGAGAACACTAGGAGGAGGCAAGAGTCCGCTCTGACGGGTCACCTCCTTTGCCCTTCCCAGCCCCGAGCCCCAGGCCAGGTGCCCCCTGGGAAGGCGTTGGTGGAGAACCTGTGTATGAAGGCCGTCAACCAATCCATAGGTGAGCCTGGGCTGACGCTGCTGGCAAGATGCCTGGAGAGTGAGGTGACAGGAAGGAGGGATTTCACCTGCCATCTCTGAAGCCCGAGCGCTGAGCAAGGGGAAGGGGACACAGTAGAAACGCACTGTGGGGGGAGGCAGGTTTAACTCAGACCCCCAACCTCTGTCCCCATCCAGGCAGGGCCATCAGGCATCAGAAGGATTTTGCCAGCATCGTGCTCCTGGACCAGCGGTACGCCCGCCCTCCTATCCTGGCAAAGCTGCCGTCCTGGATCCGGGATCGCGTGCAGGTCAAAGCCACCTTTGGCCCTGCCTTTGCTGCTCTGCGGAAGGTCAGTCCTGCCTTTCTCTCTCGTCCCCAGAACCTCCCACCCCCCAGCCCCACCCCGCCCCTAGCCGGTGTCTCCCTGTCTTTCCCTCTCTCCGCAGTTTCATAGAGAGAAGTCTGGGTCTTCCTGACAGATGGCTGCACCACTGCCTGGTCACCAGGCCCTCCTTTCACCCCGCCCACTAGAAATGTTGTCTTGGGCCTGGTCTGCAGCGATCCTGCCTAAGAAGTTGTGAAGCCCAGGTGGCGAGCGCGGTAGCCCCCTTTTGGAATCAGTGGGCTGCCAGGACCTAGGAATAGGTGGAGAAGCCAACAGGAAAAAATGAGGCTGACCCTGAAGGAACAGTGCCCCGCCATTCCTGGGCCCGTCCCGGGGCAGGTGCCCTCCCTGGAATTGAGCCTGTCTTCCACTCGGCACGGCCCGGAGTCCAGCTCCCTGACCTGATTCCCGGCCAGCCTTTGTGAGCGACTGTGGAGGCCACAGCACCTCCGCCCTTGCCTGCTTCTCAGCGTCCACATTCTTAGAGGTGAGGTGGGGCAGGCCCGCCCTCCCTCTCCTTTCTCACTAAAAGTAGCTGTTCTAGGCCTTTCACCCTCTCTCAGGGCTTCTGTTCACCCTAACCACCTTCTTGCTCTGAGTTGCTAAGAACTGCTCCTCACTCCTGCCCGCTGGTCTTCCTGCCGGCCCGCTCCTGGCCCTGCAGCAGGATCAGCTTCCCGGCTCGGCTCTAAGTCCTCCCAGGCAGGGGCCCCTCCC